CCCAGGAACATGTGAACACGAGATGAAAAATGAAGAAAGACCTAAAACTACCTTGAATATGTGCTGTCACTTCCTACACTCCTTAGAGAATCAGTGTAACACTTGGGAAACCTGCTTCAGCACAGTCTTCCTTTTGACCCTAAACAAATCACTTGGTCCCAGATTTAGGAAGCATTTTGCAACCCAGTTTCTAACAAAATGAATGGAAGTGTTGGGTGCCTAAAAGTACAATTTGTGAATGTGGACCTGAGTTTCTCCGTAGCTTAGGAACTAACAATCTGGGGCCTCTGGGACCTCCCTTTCTGAAAGGGTTACACGGTATTTCGCAGCAAATAATTTAAAAGCTGTTTTTCAATCCCATAGGATAGTTGTGGTAGGAGCACAGGTTTACCAACCAGGCTAACACCTCCACAGTACCCTCTCCACCCTGCTTGGTACTGCCCAGCACAGTATCTTCCCAGTTTCAAGATGTGGTAACAGTAGCTGAGCAAAGATGCAGCTACTGCTGCTCCCAAGATCACGGAGTACCTGGAATAGACACAACACATGAAGTACCTCCCTTGCAGCTGCCGATCCACTCAACCCATCTCCCCGCCATGTGTTTTCAATGGCAATACCACAAACGCACAAGTGAAGGAAGAAAATAAAACTTTTACTTACCTACTTCCTATCAATTAAAATATTTTAGCAGATTTTGACATGTAATTTAAGATATTTCTTCTTTCCTTCTTATACACTTAGCATTTATTTTCCAAAGGACCTGCTGCAGAAAAAGGTCTCAAGGTACATTATTACAGAAAAGGATTTAAAAAAACATTGATTTAACCATCTCAGTACATAATGCTTTAATGCATCTTCCTTCAGAATCAACATCACCAGAGTTCTGAAAACACAGAAAGCATGGTAGCAATATGTGAAGATTCATGTTTGTACCTGGTTGCCAGGTACAAAACATTGATCAACAAATTAATTCTGGGTTAAAGTGCATCATTTTTTCCCTATTAGGTGATCTCTGACGACATGAAGGTATGTTCATTTCTTCTTTTATTAAGTTGCCAATTTTTCTACAAGTGTTTGTTTCAAACAGAGAAGCACAAATATAGTAAATCTATAAACTAGGCCTTATTCACCGCAAAAGCAGAAGAATCCTGTTCCACATCTACAGATGTTACAGACTGTCATTTAGGTTAATTTAATGTTAAGAAAAATATATAACCTATATCCTGGGTATTATAGTTTTGGGAGTTTTTATACAGGGCTTTTATTTCTTACTCTCTCATGCCAAAAAAAAAAAAAAGAAAAAAGAAAAAAAAGTGGTCCTGTGTTTGTAATCAAACACAATGACAGTAAGAAGTAATAAGGAACCAGTAAGAAATAGTTAGAGGAATAGTTATAGGAAGTTCATGGCATAGCCTAAAGCACCATAGATGGTTCGTATTTAATTTGAGGACTATTAATAGAGTGCAAATCTTACACAAAAAATGAATTTATACTCAGAATTAGTTTTATGAGTCTGGGATCAGCAGAAAGAAATATTTGATTGCTGTGCAGGAAAGACTTTCCATGAACCTGTTACACATAGAATTGGCTTTCTGATATTTTGCTGTTTTTCGATAGCTCATTTATCCCACATTTATCCAAATACAATGTATTTCATATTCCTGGGTAGCTTAGCAATGAATTTTCATATCCAAAGTCAAATGACTATCAGCACCTGAAAGGTTACTTGATGGGAATTTCCCACGTCAGGAGCCATAAGGCAATGATCCTTTATTCAAGGTTATGGCCTCATATCAAACTCTTTGCGCACAAGAATATCATGCAAAATCTCTTTCACATCCCAAAGCTATTTCAAAAGTTTTACTGACTGAAAACACACTCAAATCCCATTTTTCATGACCACAAGAAGAACATAATGCTTATTAGTAAGTCCAAACACAAGAATACTGTCATCGTGAATTAGATGTAACCACGTTAGCAGTGTGTTTTTTCAGTGCCTTGATCTCCCAGATTTATTCTGCATTAAATGGACATCACAGAAATGGACTCTACACAGCAAAACCGTGTAAGCAGAAGAATTTTTCTTCAAATAAAACCAAATAAATTACACTCTCCATCAAATGGGGTTGGCCTCTTAGGGAATCATTCTGAAAAAGCTTAACTAGAAAACTTCACCAAGAACTCCCTAACAGGGTGATGCAACACTTATTCTGATATGAGTTTCAGAACCCAGGCTGAATTTTTCAAGGAATCAATGTAACATCAGAAAACTCATGAACGTAATAACGAAAAAAAAACTGTGGATCTCTGAAGTCAGGCATTAAAATCCAACACTTCAGCTGGCAAAACACTCTCTCCTTACGAGTCTGGCCTTGGCACTTAAGATTACTATTAAAAGACTTACAGATTTCTCTAAATAAATTCCAGCACACGGGTAAGTGACAGCCTGTGTTTGAAATATGATTTGCTGCTGCTGTGATTCCATGAATTCTAATCGAACTCTTCCCAATGTTTTCACCACGGCAGGTGAACCTGAAATATCAAAGTATCTCATTTTGCATTATTTTTAGCTGAAATGTATGTCAAAGTGAAATCATTTGAACTACATTAGTAGAACTAAAATGATCCCTAGTATAACTGCATTCACGTCAGCTACATCAGGAATGCGTTTCCCCCCTAAAATTTAAAATGTAAAAGGCCCAGCTAACAACAAAATTCTTTTTCTGAGAGTTATTAGTATCCAGTAACATCAGGAAAGCTCCAACAGAATCAGGACTAGTAATTTAGAGCCATAACAGCTCAAACACGATGTTTCTCTGGCATACAGATTCAACCAAAGTAATACTTAATGGAAATTTCTGCTCCTTGCTAAGCACTTGGGATCTTCTGGCTTTAGCATGTTAGGGGCAGGACTTTGGCATTTTCAAGCTGTGTTGTAACTGACTGGACAGATGGGTAGTTGAATAATCAAATTATAAGCCAGCCCAAGTAAAGGTATTTGCTTCTATTCTGGAATGCACAATTCTTTCTGTGATTCAGAACAATCTGCCAAACTGATAACGCAATCTAACATTAAGCTAGATTAGTTCTTATTTATAATGTCAAAGTACATGAGTTTATTCACTGCAGGAGGCAGAGCAGGGTCCACTGCTGTCTCCACAGTTCTGCAGTATATAGTGCCGACATACTCAGAATGTTGCTCTGCAACTGCTATGAGGTCCAGCTGCAAGACCTTTCCCTACAGAGAGTAAGGTACTGCTAGAAACACAGCATAATGCAGATATTGCCATGCTTGGTTTAAATTGGAATTTTGTGTACTGGTAGCAGAAGAACTGAATGACTTGCTGGAAAAGCTGGGTAGCTACTTAAGCAGTTACCTCATGCTGAGCTCCATTTCCATACTGTGAACATATTCTAAGAGTTATTTAAATAATTTTCATCTTTATTTCCATTAGAGAGCTAAAATTCCACCTCTTACAAACCACCTCCCCTTTCAACCAGTCAATACTGCAAACACGTACTACTTATATTCTCTATTTACCTAGTTAGTATTTCTTTTACTCCTACATTCTTTCCGTGGTGCTTGGTATTATATGGTCTCTGGTAATTATACAGAACTACTAGGAAGCTAGCAAGCTACCTGACAAGAGAGCCCTTATGGTCTCTACATCATTAACTACTAGCTATTAAAGAGACACTTTCCATTACAGATTTTTTACCAGGTTTTAAAGATTGCTCTTCCTCACTTCTACTATTGCCCCTATAGAAAAAAAAGTATTTAGTACATTTAACTCAGGGGAGCTACAACAAAACACAGTATTCAATTTTGGCAAATGCCTATGTATAAAATTACCGAGTTGTTTCATACAAAACATAGTTGGAATTAACATCACCACACTAAAAAGGAGCTTTGATTAATGCTTCACATCAAAAATATACTGAAGTCTGCTCTATGACTTTAGATTAGTACTTCAGATATTTAAATACATTTTGTCTTTGTTTTTATTAGTTCTTCTGCAGTGCAAAAGAAGACAAGCAGAGAAACTTTTCAGAGGCAATTCACAGAAAATCCATGAAGGCAAAAATCAACCATTAAAGAAACACCTGTGCCTATGTCTCTGTTTGGTACCACTGGATGCTGCACACAGCATATAACACTTATCTGACAAATTACGTATCTTGTTGTGAGTGCCCAATTTGCTTTTCTTGTCGCCTTTCATCTCCAGAACTATATGTCAGCCAGTCACTAGCTGTCCCCCCAGAAAAATCCCTCTACTCAGCTTTAAGTGAATATTGCAAAAATACTGTAATTCAGTAGCTAAGCCCCTTTTTCTCCTGTAATGGCCTGCCCCAGTATTTAAAGTGCATATGACAATTTGGTTTAAGTTTTATAATCTGGAATGTTCCACAGTGCCTCTTCAGAAAACAGTTCCAGTTTAATTGTGCCTTCCCTAGGTAATTCTGAGTCTCAAAAAAATGCCTCTTCTGAATCTATTATTCATGTTATATGCAGTAATATCTTACCTATTTCATTCTGGAGTCTGGAATGTACTACAGGCTACATAATCTTTACCTACCTTAATCTCATAGGAAGGGCAATGGAAGTTTTTGACACACAGTAAAATGCAGCTGGTCTAAGAATCAGTGAAAAGAAATCATGGAATGTTTTCTCAAGGACTGCATGGGACCCAGCATTTTGAATCCCAGAATGCCTGTTTTGGATCTTAAATGTTGCTTCAAATACACATGGGTGAAAGCCCTAATTAAGGGAAAATGCCGCACCAATAATAGCATGTTAAAAGTCAGCAATTCTCAATTGTCAGTACTGTAACAACTGCATATCTTATTACTTCTACCTTCTCCTCCCATATGCTGAATTTCTTCGATACTGACAAAGCACGTGTACTAATCATAGACTCTGAATGTTAAATTAACCAGGAAAGAGATACAAATTAGGTCGGTATTTCTTGAGGGCATCAGTAGAAAACACTGATTTCAAGTAATTTTGGTTATAAAATTTTACTTCACAATCCTTTTTGTGATCACAGATATTCATAATTAAAAAGAGTATGGAATTAATGTAATGTTAGCTGTTTTGCCATGAGCATCACAAAGAAAAAAGAAACAATAAAATATGATGCAGAATTCACTCTTCCAATGATTGTCATTGAACTATTACATTAGTAAACATTCACAGTATGAAGTCTCTTTCAGTATAACTCCAGCATATAAAGTAGTGCAAAAAAAGCATTCCAGTCATTTTGCCTTTGCAGTCAGACCAGGTTAAATGATTCTCCAGCTTCATTTCTTTCATTATTAGACAACAAATGCTGCAATGCCTCCAAAGAGAGTTATAAAAATAAACAATTTCTGGAGGGTCAGCAGCCTTTTCAAAGTAAATTTCCAGTTAAAAACAAGCAAGAAAAAAATTTAGATCTATCTTCTGAAGAATATCTTTTTACAATAAATTTACCATTTGAAAAACAATGACTATGGTATCCAATGATTTATGGTAGCTGCTATTAAAGCACTGATAAATAGATAAATGACTACCAAACTTCATTGCTTCTTACATAGTAAATACATCTGAATGCCAACTTTTACCACAGAGCTGTTATTAGTGATATCGACAGTTCATGCACCCACTTTAAAACTGACTTGGTTTTAATAAATTTTTCAGCCTCATGTGCAAAACACTTGCATTCTAATAAAAAATACAGTCTGAAATTGTATCAGATCGAGCAATCCCTTCCTCAAGGTATGCCACTTACTTGATATGTAATACAACTTTAACAATGCTTTTTATTTGTATTTAACCATTAAATGGCATACTACTGTATGCTGTGGACTCTTGTTTGCATATTTCATTATTTTCACTGCACTTTTTAATGCATAAATATATTTGGAAACGTTCAAAATTACACATCAGTTTCCACAGAATTTGAATTTACACAGTTTTTCTTCTCTGACTCACTGCTATTCCCCATGTCCTGACTTTTTTTCTCCTTTACACAAAGAGATTCTTTAACACCTTCTTCCATCTCCAAATACTCCGATTTATCCTCTGTGGATGAAGTTGATGAGCTTCTAAATTTCTTCAGTAAATTTGTTGGGAGATAAGGGCAACTGACTGCATTTTGCATCAGCTGCGTTTGTTCTTCATTCTCAGTCTCTCTGTGGTAGAAATAGTTAAAATTGGAGACAATCACTGGCACTGGTAAAGCAATGGTTAACACTCCCGCAATGGCACACAGGGACCCAACTATTTTCCCACCCACAGTTATGGGTTTCATGTCCCCATAACCAACTGTAGTCATGGTCACTACAGCCCACCAAAAGGCATCTGGGATGCTTTGAAAATGGGTGGCAGGCTCATCAGCTTCTGCAAAGTAAACGGCACTGGAAAACAAAATAACTCCAATAAAAAGAAAAAAGATGAGGAGGCCAAGTTCCCTCATGCTGGCCCTGAGTGTATGACCCAGGATCTGCAAACCCTTGGAGTGCCTGGAGAGCTTGAAGATGCGAAACACCCTGACCAGACGGATAATTCTCAGGATGGCAAAAGACATGGTCTGTTGACCATTACTGCCCTGTTCCTGTGCCAAGTCGGTGCCCAGAGTAATGAAGTAAGGCAAGATGGAAACAATATCTATGATGTTCATGATGTTCTTGAAGAAGTGTGCTTTGCTTGGACATGCAAAGCAGCGCACTGTAAACTCAAAGGAGAACCAAATGATGCATACTGTCTCTACAATGAAAAAAGGGTCATTGAAGATGGTATGTTCCCCAGCATTCAGGTGAAGCGACTCATTGGAATGCCCCTTCCCTACGCTCAGCGACATGATGAATTCTTTATCATCTCTGAACTCTGGCAAAGTCTCCAGACAAAAGATGACGATGGAGATCAAGATGACCAAGACAGAGACAATGGCGATGCCTCTGGCTGGACTGGAGCTTTCTGGGTACTCAAACAGCAGCCAAACCTGCCTCTTAAACTCATTCTCCGGCAAAGCTTTGACCTCTTCCTCTTTGACAAACCCTTCATCCTCCCTGAACTTGACCATGGCCTCCTCCCCAAGTTGGTAGAATTTCACCTCCTCAGTGAAGATGTCAAAGGGTACATTGACTGGCCTCTTCAGCCGACCGCCACTCTGGTAGTAGTACAGGATGGCATCAAAGCTGGGCCGGTTCCTGTCAAAGAAGTATTCATTCCTGAGAGGGTCAAAGTATCTCCCTCGCTTCGCTGGATCACCCAACAGTGTCTCTGGAAACTGAGCTAATGTCTTCAGCTGGGTCTCAAACCGCAGTCCTGACACGTTGATAACCACACGCTCACAACAGTCGTACTCGCTGTAGCGAACAGAGCTGTAACCCCCAGGGCCTCCACCATCATCAGGTGGCTGGTCCGAGTATGAAAACTCATCCTCCCCATAGTCATCACTGTAGTACAGCTTTCCTTCTTCCTCATCATCTTCATCCTCGTCTTCATCCTCCTCTTCCTCCTCACTCAAGTCCTTCAGTATTCTCTCTTCAGAACCACTGAGAGGCAGCAGCTCAGAACAGGGGAAGGAGGCCCCACACTCCCTACTGCCCAAATGGTGGCTCCTCTTTTTCCCTTTCTTCAGCCTCTTGCCACTCTGGCGGTGGGGCATGCTGCTGCGTGATGCATTCCCGCCATGAGAGGAGGATGCACTTCGACTCTGTTCCTGATGGTAGTGGTGATACGGTCCACCTCCGCCTGTTGCCCCACCTTCTGCTGCTGCTGTTGCTGCTGCTACAGCTGCAGCCGCTGCGGCTCTTGACTGTGCCAAGCGCTCTCTCTCGCGGGCCCGAGCTTGGACCGCGTACCCATAGGGCATGTGGCTGTTGCACCCAGAGCTGTCTGCACTCACCATTGCAACCTCCATTTTGCAACTGCTTTTGCAAACTGGTTTTGTTTGTTTTCAATTGCTTAATGCGAAAAGGGTTTGGTTTATTTACAGTGTAGCCATAACTTTCATTAGAAAGTTCAAAGCCATTTGCATTTGGAGGACAGTCCCCTGGACACAGAGCGGGGCAACACTGAATCTATGCTTTGGAAAACCACAGATTTACATGTTGTTAACACCCAGAACGTTTGACACAAACCACTGTTTTGCTCATAAGAATAGACGAAACTCTCAAAATTGAACCAGGAAACAGCTGATGCCCTTGGGTGTTTTTTTGTCCACCAAGACCCTTTATTTTCCTTTATCTCCTGTAGCAATCACAGATTTGATCAGAATCATGACTACCGTGCAGGCTACAAAGACTGCATTCATGAGGATAAAATTATGCAAATCAAAGGGTACCTGCTCTCCACAGACGGTCTCAGCTCATTCATTGCAACCAAATGCAAATAGTCTCTTTCCTCCTAATATGCTCCTGTTAATGCCTTGGCCTAGCAACCTTATTATTTAATACCATTACTTGGGGAGTTGAAGTTAATTCCAGCCATCACTTTATTCACACAGTGAGGAGGTCTTTGCAATTCCTGTCTTCAGCCTGTCAACAATGTCTCAAACCTGGGAGCAGCACCCAGGGCATCAGCAGCAGTGGTAAGAGGAGGAGGAGGAGATGAAGACTGAGAAACTGGCTCTGAGGTCCCATAGGACATAAGGGAGTGGATGGGTCACCCTTTGGTTATGGTCATGCAGAAGAAGCACTTAACCTGAGGCACATGCACAAACACACAAAAATAAACAAAACAAAAAGGGAAAAGATTGGATTGTTTTCCTAAAAGGTCACACTGATCAAATGAAACTGTGTCATCTATTACCACAGTATTCAAATCTTCCCCTACCCACACTATTCACACTTCTACATTACACACACACCCACATCACATGCACAGAGATTTTGAACGACTCTGTGGGTAAGGATGTGGGTGGGTATGTCACATATATATAGACAGAGATACAGAATCCCCACCCATATAAGCACTTGTATCCATACACAAACATATGCATGCTTCTGAAACACCAACACACACAAACACTAATAAAAATACTGTAATACCCAGTGCATTCAGATCTTTGAATTCCTATGTAATAGATACACCTACATACATCTACAGGAAATATTAAATAATAAATATATCATCTACACACAAAGCTTTTGTTTTATTTATAGAAACACATAAGATGCTTACATTTTAATCTGTATTTGAATTGTGTTTCAATCATAATGAACATCTCACTGAATTTAATTTGGAAACGGGCTCATATAATGCTCAATGAAGTGAAAATGCTGTGATACGGTATGTCAAGAAAACACAACTGCAGGTGCACTGAAGCAACAACTACATGCAAGCACACAAAAATATACACATACACCTCCTTTTGAAACACAAGCCTCGTTTATAGCTATATCTATGAATACATGATAGAAGGCGAATATGAACTATTAAATGATGCTATTTTTAAAATTGTACCTACGTGTCATGCAGAGAAAAACCTTAAAAAGGCTATTATACTTACTGTTCCTAGGCAGAGAAATAGCACTGCTGTTCTTGCTAGTGTAAGGATCTGGTGACAGCAGTCCTGAGGAGGGGGCTATGCCAACTGATCTACATTTGCAGGTGTATGGTCAGTCAGCACCACAGGTTGACGAGTTCTTTCTCTCCCTTCTTTCCGGGTGTAACAAGAGCGCCAGGAGTGAGCCAGTGAGGCAGCTTAAGCTGGGGGCACCCTGCACAACCACAGGCACTGCTGCTCGCCCAGGCATTTGCAACAAGGCAAGCAAGGTTCTTGTTCCAAAAGGAAAAGAAAACGAAGGCTCTGTGTGTGTGTGTTGGTGTGTGTGAGACAGAATGAATGGATGAGCGCGATCACTGCTCTTTAAAGCACAGTTTTTGCGGCAGGTTTGCAAATCAGTGCTCAGTAATCCGTGTACCAAGCCTGCTTCCACTGATGGGAGGACGGGTGTCTCCTCGTGCAGTTTCTCCCTCAGACACGTCCAGACGGCAGCGGCTCAGCCAGCACCGCCCGCAGCATCCACTTGTGCCGGGTTTTGGTAATGCTGACAAAACCCCCCAAACAACAAAACCCATAAGCAACAAAAGCGAAGAAAAAACAAACCCCCAAACCCAAATCTAAAGCCCCACCAAGAGGAGAAAGCAGCTCGCTACTTCACGGCGGATACCGCTGTTTTTTAAAGCTGCAGCTACCAACCGCGCCCGAGCCGCAGGGGCTCTCCTGGGCACAGCCCTGTTGCTCCGCCGAGCCGCCGCCCGGCCGGCCTGCCGCCGCCCGGAGGGGCGGACGGAGGGTGGGAATGAGGGAGAGAAGGAGGGAGGAAAGGGAAAGAGGGAAGGAGGGAAGGAAGGATGGAGAGAGGAGTCGGCGCCGGGACCGCTCTCCCGCGCCTCTCCCGGCTCGGCACTGCCCCCTGGCGGCTGCCTCTCCGCAGTGCGCCGCTGCCCCGCTGCTCGGCCCCTGCCTGCTCCTCGCCCGCGGCGCTGGTCCTTTTGGGATCCATCCTTCAGTATTGAAACGACTTGACTACGTTGTTGAAGCGGCTCTGGGAATTTCAAAACAAGCAACTGGGAGAGCAATTCCTTCTGCTCCTGCCCAATGTCCTGCCAGCTGCAGTGATCTTGCAAATGAAGTCAAATTGACTTTCACTCCTAATTCTGTACCTAAACTGAATTTAGGACCTTGTTCATGAACGGAGTACCACTGTGTATTCTGTAAGCTTTAACACCTCTTCCAGAGATGTCAACTCTTCTTCTCCCTTAACACAAACAGTGTGTTCCTTCTGTGCTAGAAAATCCCGACTGGGACTAACTCCACTATCTGTAAACAAGCACCACAAAAATGCAGCTTGGCTGTATTTGATATCACAGCTACAATTCTGCCATCTGAAAAACTAAGTATAGGCATTCCTACATAACATGGAGAAATAAAAGCAGGGTCTGGGCACTTTAGAGCCCTATTGATAAGATCACAGCAGGAACAAATCAAGAGTCACACTCACCCCAGACACTTTGCCTCAAGGTGTTTACAACTGAAGGCAAATTCAATATGTGCAGTAAGTAGGCTGGGCATTTTTTTCATTGCCTAGGTCCACTCCTTCTTCATAGTCCATATAAACTGAGAGAGTTTAGTGACTGTTCCCCTTCAGATCCCTGGTGGCATAATCCAGATTATCGTTACCTTTCTGTCTCTGCTGCCTACACCAGCTAGTGCTCATACTCTCAATCCCATTCATTCCAGTGGGTGACATATGATCATACAAGGGAGAATGAGAGACCAACCAAATAAACATACTGAACGCTGGTTCATAAAGTTGTTGCCAAGAGTACTGTGAAATGTATAGGTGGCAGATACATCTAACCAGTTTTTCAATAATCACAATCCTTCAGGTTCCATAGTCAATATAAGGAAAAGACATATAGAAACTCCTAATGTCATCCCAAACACTATTAAAATATAAAGTGGTGTTATCACAAGAGCACTCCAAAATTTTGATACTCCTGGATGCAATTTAAAAGCATTCCTCAAATTCATTGCCATTATCAAAAGCCAGATTAGTCTGCAGCTTGGCACAGGAGCATTCTAAAGGCAGGGATCAAACCCTTGTCTTTGTTTAGTCCCAAACACATGTGCAATGCTATAAAAACAGAAGAGAGATCATAGGTATACTTTTTGAATTATTGGAAACACCCAGACTCATTCCTACTTCAGTAAGATTTCATTCTAGAGGCATTTTCGAGAATTCAGTCACTTCATTCTCCAAGAACTGATGTGGTTTTTATTTATCTGCAGGACATGAACACTCTTTTTATTTGTTTTTGAGATGTTTCAAGGGCTTGGGGCCAAAAGAAAAAAAAAAATTGCTTACCCTGCTTTTACATTTCTTCCAAAGTTTCAGGTGCATTTTCTTGTCATTGTCTTGTGGCAGTGAAACTAAAATATTCAGTGGATACTTGAGTATGAAGACAAGTTGAAACAAACCGATCACTTTGGTATGCCATTTTGATTATTATTATTCTTTCCTTTTGTAGTAGCAAAAGCATATTCTTGAGCAAAGACAAATAAACTGTGGTGGATGAGGGGATACACACCTAGTATACACACAACACCAATAAGGAGAGCAGCAGGATAGTTTTTTTTGACCTTTTAAAATCCATTCTAATGTGATAGGAATCATGTAACTATATACAATTCAATCTAACTCAGAGGTCTTATGTGATCCAATTTTTGACTGATTTAAAAGCAAAAAACAAGCTTTAAGTATTTACAGATGAATACTGCAGCATTTCATTCAGCTTTATATTTTTATAGTATTCAATGAGCAATCTTTATTTAAAAGATATTGCATTCCCTCTGCTCCTTCATATTCATAAGGGATATTATTATTGCTAGAACAAAGAGAGAATACATACATGTCATTATCTTTGATAGTACTGTATTAAGAATATTACAGCATAGTGAAGTAAGGCACACTATCAAACAGATTTGTTCTGGGTACAGTGATGTAGAGGAGAAAAATGCATCATTATTGTTGAACTATGTATACAGTGCCAGAAAAAATACACAACCACTCTACACATTTTCATGCAAAAGAAACAGGAGATTTAAAAGCCGAACGTAGGTCACTAGGCCTGAGATTAATTTATGCTATCCCCAGTTGCTGCAATTCTCACTGGCAGAGTCTGGCCTCAGTCCAGCACTAACGTTCCTGCTGGAATCAGGAGTGCTGTGCAGCAAGTAAGACTGTGTTGAATTCTTGCCTCCACAACTAGGTTTTCTCTCCCAGTAACTGTATCACTTTAGAGTTCATATGTTACTCATATTTTACTAACCAGGCTCAGTAAGACACCCCTGTCAAATAATCTGGCTCAAGTACTCTCCTTTTGAATATTACTGGCACTACTTGAACGAAATACAGACTACCCTCAGTTAGTTCTTATACACAACATCCATGAATATCACATCTATTCATTACTTGTACCGCAACAGGCTAATCCAAGGAGGTTGACACTTTAGAGAACAGCAGACATTTTATATTTTCCCTGGAAAGTATGCAAAACCGCAGCTATTTACCACTGAGTTTAGGATGAATAACAGTGAGAACACTGATGATATTTTTATTTGAAGAATAATTTTTTTTCTACCAGAGTATGGAAGTACTCAGAAACTAAGATAAAAATTCCACGTAGGGTTTGTTTTTGGACTTGAACATTTCTCCGTTCACTCTGGGCATACAGTGCATTCTAAAACCTGGAAATATCGGGGGCCAAATTCTGCGTTGCATATGTATTTGCCTAGATAAGGTAAAATTAACTATTAGGTTAACTGTGACTTGCAGAACAACTGGAAAGAAATACCTGTAGGGCAAGAGCTTATTAAAAATCAGAATCATGAAGACTTATTAGGCAGAAGTTCAGGAATCTTATGCTCCAAGAATATACAGTAGAAAACTGTTACATGAAGATGCATGTAAAGAAAAGAAAGAAATTTTGCATGTTCAAGTATGGCATTAAACATATTTCACACATATGTTTTTAGGTAGAAAAGGGTATTTCTATGAACACAAGGCTTTTAGCAGACAGATGTTGCTCAAGTTCTACCAAATATATTTTTATAATTCCTATTTATGAAATTAGCATGCATGGAATACATGTGCATGAAGGAACTGCAGGATCAAACTAAAAACAGTGGATACACCATTATATTTCTAAGGCTCCAAGTCTTCACAGAAGATTAAATAAGTATTGCAAAGGCAATATAAAAATTGCTCTACACTGTTGTATATACTTTGGAAATTACCCTTTTGAAAGAGACCTGCATTTCAGGTCTCTTCATAATTCAAATTCAAGTGTACAGATATGCGTTATTTATCAACATAAAGATTTATCAAAACTATGAAGATTACCAATTTAACTACTGCCAAGAACTTCAAATGGAAGCTGTTAAAAATAACCTACAATGGTTGTTCTGACAAAGTGATTGGATTACATTAAACAATGCAGTCTAAGCAAAGGCATCTGAAGGATGTAAATGTGTCTGCATTATACTGGGAGATGAATTCTACACTCAGACCTCCTGGTACAAAGTGATTTATATACAAAACAGTTTAACCATTTCAAAAAAAGTCTAGTGCTCCTCCCTCTTTTCTGCAACTGCATGTTCTGATTCACTTCTGGGGACACATATGGAGGGGCATACACCACCTAACTCATGGTTCTCTGAGGGTTTCCTTTGTACATCCACGGAGTTATTAAATGACATAACATGGCATCTGAATCACCTGCGGGGAAAAAAAATGTTACTCAGAGAAAATACGTCATGCCTTAAAAACTCTTTGCTTTCTCTTGCACAAATGGCATGAATTCCAACTGTGTTTAAAAACAAAACAATACAAATTCTTTTTGTGAAACATCTTAAATTCTTAACTTGCATATTGCTCTTGTTGGCAGTGACAAAGGGAAAGAATAGGCTTAGCTGAAAAATCAATCTAAAAGAGGTGAAAATATCCCAGTATATATCTGGAATAATGTAGGAATTAGCATTTTCATGATTGAAAAGTAGATAAATCCTGTAATAGCTTTCTCTGAATACAGTCAAAACAAATTTCCTGTTTTATCCAGAAAGTAAACAAACTTTCCTCATTGCTTGCACATGTAAGAGTCCATTACCTATCTTTAGCTAGAAAATGAGCAACTGCTAGCTTTATGGGTTAATTTATAAAGTCTCAGTTTAGCAGAGTGGGAGTTCTAAATGACTGTTATTTTAGATTTGAGTAAATGCCTGACAGACTGGATTTCTTATGCAGTTCTGGAACTTTCTTTATATTAACAATGCATTCTGTCAAACTGGTGGGGAAAAACACTGGTATAAAAATGTCCATTATCTAGGGAAATCATAATTGGTTTTCATATCAGCTTTCCTTCCTAAAATACCCAAATGAACATAGCAGCTAATTGCAAAGTTCACAGAGTAGCAATTATATTCTGACTACAGCAATCAAGATGCTGACAAACTAAAGACCTGCTACACAGAAAAATAGGCTGATTTTTGTTTGCAGGTGACAAGAAACCTAACCTTTAAAAGATATTTATGGCATCCCTTAATTCATTCTACTGAGATTTGCACATTTTGTTCGGGGCATTCCAGCACTTCGTACAAACTCGTTCCACAAGGTAAACAAACATGTATCTTACTGAAAGGAAGCTATTTGTTCCATTGCCTCTTGTGAATCACAATTTTACACATCCTGATGCTCCTTGCTGAACTGTGCTGTAAATAACTTACTATCTTTCTTCCCCCCAACCCCACAATGGGAATTTGACTATAACTGTTTTTATGCAACTCCATATAACCTAAATTATCTTTACCATGCATTTCAATTTCCTGTAATAGGTGGGTTATTTGCATGGGCACAGCCAAAGCAGTTCCTAGTTTCCTAGCAGGCCTAGT